AAAGCCTTCCCCAGCAGCAATAGGGGAGATGCGGCCAGGAACATGGTTCATCTCAAGCGGGTACTGCAGGGAGCTCCGGCGAGCAAAGGGCCCCACGGAGCTGCGAGGTGGTTTCATGGGGGCCTTAGGGGGGATGGCTGGAGGCAGGAGCTCCCCACCCAGAGAGACAGGGCAGCCCCCTTTGTTGCGGCGGGGCGGCTTGGGCATCAACGGTGGGCAGCGTAGGGGGAGGGGCTCTGCAGTTGAGCGGTAGCTTGTCAAGACCACGCCCCCTTCGGGGTGCCCGTTCATGGACGGCGGTGAGTCAAGGGGCTTTTTGCTTCGGGACGAGCGGCGGGATTTTGGGGCCCTGCCCCCTGTGATTGAGGAAGGGTGGGCAGGCAGGGCACCGAGCCCCAGGAAGGTTTGGAAGGAGGTTCCCCCTTCGTCGGTAGAGGATGAGAGGTCCGAGGCCAGCCCGTCCTCCGTATCTCCCTCCTGCTGCCGAGAATTTGCTGGAACCCAGACCAAGACCATGCCTGGGTTTTGTTGATGGCAAATACAAGGGCAGCTGGACAGGCAGGAACTGGGGAAATCCACACCGTTCTGCTCCACCACTGGCAACGCGGACGGCTTGGTATCCTTGCAAGGATCTGGGGAAGCAAAGGAAGGCAGAGAGTACTGAACGAAGGGGAAGAAAAGGAGAAGAAATCTTTTGGTTAATGGCAGGTGAAAATATAGGACAGGAAAGCATTTCATGACCCCTGTGGTTCATGGATCCAAGCCACCACAAAATTCCAACTATTTGCTGTGTTAGGTTTCTAGTCTTGATAGGACCATGATAAGGCTCAGAAATGCCCTGCTCTGTTTCTACTGCACTGGTGGAAGCCCAAAGTGGGCAGAACTGAACAATCTCTGTGTCCTGCAAGCTATTGGGGAGGGCGAAGATGGATTTTATGCAAAGCACGTGTTTGCAAACTGCTGGGCTCACATTTATTTGTGGCAGGGTTTCCAGGAGACGAAGCCCAATTGAGGTAGTGATTTTCTTCCAATTCCTGATGGGGAGGGGAAGGAAGCCACCACCGAACTGCAATTTTTTAGAATTGAAAGGGCATGGCGATGGAATCCAATCTGCTCCAAGCAGGACTCCAAATTCAAGGATGCCCAGCATCTACCCAGCAAACCAGTTTATTTGTTATTGATTGATTGATTGATCATATTTGTATAGCTGCCCATCTCACAAGAGAGTAACACCGGGCAGCGTACAACACTCAATTAAAAAGCACCAATAAATACATCTAAAACAATCATTAAAACTATAAAAACTATAAAAGCACACAAAACAGGAGAGGATAAAATTAATTAGGGCGCCGTTGAAAAATCTCCCCAGTCCCCCCAGGCCTGATCACACAGCCAGGTCTTGAGGGACTGTTGAGAGGGATGGAGCTAATCTCACTTCTGGGGGGAGAAGATTCCACAAGGCGGGTGCCACGGTGCCACCTTCTGTGACCCGCCAAATGAAATTCCCTTACAGGCGGGACCCGCAGCATGCCTTCTCTGCCAACCTGATGGGATGGGCAGGTGTAATCAGGGAGAGGCGGCCCCTATAATAACCCAGCCCCATGCCATGAAGGGCTTTAAAGGTCAAAACCAGCACCCTGAATTGGTTTTATGCAGGAGGGCTCGTGTCACCTGAAACAGGGCCATGGGGTGGCTATCTACAGATGCAATAAGAGTGGAGGAGTAACAACGCTTTGCTGCCCTTACCGCCACTAGCTAGGCCTTAATAGCAACTCTGACCCGAGTTCAGTCAAATTCGTCCCTCACTGAGTGCCAGCAACGCTCTAGACATTTCTTCTCTTGTTTCATCTCCTCAACTCTTCCGTAAACCACGGGGAGTGCCAGGATCCACAGGAGGGGAGAGGGTGCATGGGCGCGATCCAATCCAAGGCCTCAGCCGCCCTTTTATTCCAGGCAGCGACCAGGGCTCTGGATGAACCGTGCAGCAGACCAGTGGGAACAGCCCCCAGCTCCCTCCGGAACCCATCCAGGTCCAGTAGTTGCTGGGGTGGACCAATCTAATGGGTCCAGCCTCCCTGGCGCTGGAGAATCCCATGGTAATCAGGGCATGATCTGACCATGACAAGGGGGACGCTGAAAGCTCCCCCAGTTTCAGATCACATAGCCACTGCTCTGACAGGAACACCGGATCCGGTGTATGGCCACTGTCCCATGTCAAGCTCTGGATGATCTGGGATAAGCCCATGGCCGTCATGGTGGCCATGAACTCCTGAGCCACCTCCAACCCCACTCCTAGAGAAGGCAGATTGAAGTCCCCCAAAACCGGAAGTCTGGGCAATCCCAACTAATCCCTAGGGCCCAACTTAATGAACAGGGTCTCACATCTGGTGACCTGTGGTAGAACATCCCTGAAAGCTGTAAGGGATTCCCAGATGACAATCGCCACACCCCTGCCCTGGGATTTCGGCTGATGCCGCACCCAAAACCCAACTGGACGTAACTCCGAAAGTTCTGGATCCAGCCAGGTCTCGGTGACGCATGCCAGTTTGATGTCATCTTTAAAAGGGCTGGACTAGGAGTGGGGAGACCCGAGGACTAATCCTGCCTTAGGTGTGAAAGCCAGCTGGGTGGCTTTGGGCCAGCCCTAGGAGGAACCCACTTCCAAAAATGTTGTCCAGAAAACTGTATGGAGCCACCAGGAGTCAAGACTGACCCAAATGATCATAACAAGGTCTCTCTGAACACAGCTCAAAGCTGGCCCACTTACCCAACTGATCCTGGACCTCTTTTCCTTCGATCACCTTCTCTTCCTTGCTCTCATCCTGGTGGCAGTTTGAAGGAGGCAACTGGACAATTTTTTCAGCTTCCTCCTTCTCCGGACCCGCCTGATCAAAGCGTACCACGATCTTGCGAACGGCCCCAGATTTCTGCAGCTTAAGCAGGGGCTGCGGTGGGCCGCACGGCAGTTCAGTGACCGGAGAGCACCCCTCCCTCTCCAGGGGCAAAGGAGGGGTCGGGCCCTGGAGGAGCTTGGCTGAGTCTGGCTTGGGGGGCAGGTAGGGACGTGGCCTGGTGGGTGGGCGAGGCTTGATAATGCGGGTGGGTTTCTGGGAGGGAGGAGTGGCGGGAGGCAGAGGATCCAGGGAGGACATCTTCACTCCAGGAAGGTCACCTGCGACATCCCCCCTGTGGCTTCATTTCCTGCAGAGGAAGAGAAAATGGAAACGCAGTTAATTGAATCCTTGAGTGTGCAAGAAGGGAGGGAGGCGTATTTTATGGCATCTGAGACTGATCTCCTCCCTTCCTTGTAATGTTCATATTACATTTATATCTCAGCTATTATTTTCCTACCACAGCAACCCTGCAAGGTAGGTAGCGTGGGGAGGGAGGGAGAGATTGGCTCAAAGTCAGAGTTTCCAGGGCTCAGGGTGGACTTGAGCCTGGCTGTTTCTAGTCGTAGTCAAACACTTAACAACACATTTGTTAAAGAGCAACATACCCATGAGAATGATGAAATAGCCTAGATCCCTCTCAGCTACATGCAGAAATTATTTGTATTTATTATTCTAACTTTATACAGGGGCAGGCATAAGAGACGGGGCTTTTTCAGTGGTGGCTCCAGTTCTGTGAATCCCCATCTAAAGGGCAGACGTAGGGCTTTTTCCAAAAGAGCTTTTCACCTGTCCTTAAATTCATGTTTTCCCCCCCTCTCCATTAATTTCAGTATGTTTCAGATAAAGATGACTGTCTGCTCTTTAAATGACTGCCATTTAAATTCTTGTCTAAACAGCTGGGCTGAATAAGGAGGCCTTTCTGCAGAGGCTCTGGCTTGAAATTCTGTTCACGTCTTTTACATTTGTCAAGTGCTTTTGAGCTGTGAACTGCCCGGAGAAACTTTTTTTTAGATGGACCGGCCTGCTCTATTATGTCCAGATTCTTACCACATTTGACTGCCCTAGATGGACTGTACCAATGAAGAGAGCAGGGGGGAACATGTTTATCTTAGAACACTCCTGTTTTCTGCAAAGCACACTACTTTTTCTTCCAATTGAAAACCCAGCAAGAATGCCCCAAGAGAGCCCTTTCTTTCAAGGGCTCTTTCCTTTTCATTCATTTTATCCCATCTAGGTGCTGGGCTACACATCCCACCCCCTTGCTGATCTGACTTGCAGACAAATTCTCCCGCCCTCTTTCCTTGGAGAAGCCAAACCCAGAACCCAGTTTTTTCCCTACAATCTTTCATCGACTCCTTGCAAGCTAAGGCAGGGAAATCTCAGCTGCAGGCAGCGATGTTGCAACGCAGTGCAACGCAGGGGGGTTAGGTCTATGCTGTGCAAGGCAAAATTTCTTGCAAGGCTAGTTGGAACGGGATTTCAAGGAATGGCGTTAACTCATCTGCAAGGCCCTGGCAGGGTTCGCCCATGCCCGATCGTTCCAGTCCCTGGAGTTCTACAATCTCATTCATTTCTGCCCTGCTCGCTGGCAGCACATCCTGCCCTCTGGGCAACTGCTGTCCACGGCTGCCCAGCTCCCAGGGCTGCCTGCCAGAGGAGGCTCTCCGGCCTGCCAGTCATCCCTAGGGTGCGGCTCTCCCACACCCATCCAGCTGGGAAAGATAAGCATTCAGCCTGGTCAGAGGCTGTTCAAGAAACTGGGAAGTGAAACGGACGGTAAATCAAACAGAAGAGTGTCTTTCTTGGACTGGAATAAACACGTCACCTGCTGCCGAGAACCTCAATCTGTTCTCCCCTTTTAAAAAATAACCAAGTTTCTAGCCCTTAAGGAATTCTGTCGGAAAGGATCAAAGGCCTGGAAAAGTCTGAAGATTTAGGAAAGGGCCGGGCAGCCCAGTCTCCGACGACTGGGGACTAATGGAGAAAAGCAAGAAAGGCGACCTATAAATAAAATAAATAAATGCATCCCATTATTTTTAATAACAATTCAAACAACGCAGTCACAACACAACAGACTCGGAGAGAGATTCCACAAAGAAATATAGTAATGGGCAGAAAGTACAGAGTCCTATACTGTTTTTCTTTATCTCTGATCTACAGCCTCGGTTTCCAGTTACTTACGACATCAGGCGTGTGCCTTTACAAGCACTAAATCAAGTCTCCCTGGGTGGGGCTGGAAAAAATGCAACTATCTCCTTTCCCCCCTGCTTCCCCCCTCTTCCTCCCACCCCACAGATTAATTCCCAGCCTGACCGTTCTGTTCAAACGTGGGACGAGATTTCAACACCAGCAGGCACATTTCCAACCCCTGAAATGTAGACGCAAACACGTAGCTCTTCCTTCTGCACATGCCCGACTCACTGGATGGCTTAAACTCCGGCCAGAAAAAGATAACAGGAGGACTCACATTCGCAAACACACACTTACACATTGCTGGGGGCAATGGCAGTGTGTCTGCTTGGGGTGGGGAGAGAAGGGTACAAGAATGAACTCAAGACAGCTGCTTCACAGGAGACAGTTGGGGGATGTCATCTGCCGGTGGGATATTTTTGGGCCTGCCACGGGGGTGGAGAAACTGAGGATTAGTGTCTGAAGACTGGGTCAAGAAATAGAACAAGGGAGGCAAGAGGAAGCAGGGCACAGAGAAGGGAAGCGAAGGTTACTGGTCGGCAACTGGCAGCCCTCAAACAAAACCTGGCCCATGTATCAGTTCTATACAACCATTCACTTATGGTTTCCTTACTCGGAAGGTCAGGGGCTACAACTCTCCAGAGCAGTGTTTCTCAGATTCAGCAGCTTTAAGATGTGTGGACTTCAACTCCCAGAATTCCCCAGCCAGCGAGTTGAAGTCCACACATCTTAAAGCTGCTGAATCTGAGAAACACTGCTCTGGAGAGACACAGGAAGGCATCTACTAAGTTAGGGCACCTCCACCCCCCTTTTTTAAAGGGTGGGAATGGCAGCTGGCTGGCTTCTGGAAGGCCAACGGTCCCCATTCTCATCCTTTACCTCTAAAATGCCACTGGCCCCCAGGGGGGAAGGAATGATGGTTAAGTTAACCACACTCCCATTCCTCCTCTTTCTTTTGAAAAAAAAAAATGTCTATCAAAATTTGGTGCATTCGGTTACACCCTTCAACGACGTGATTTTAAGCCTTGGGGCTGCCCCCCACCCTCCCTGGACCAAAGCAGCCATTTCTGCCCATTGGGACACGTTGGGGAAAACAAAAACACAAGGCCGACCAACGGAAGGGCTGGCTTCCTCCCTGTCCACCTCCGTTGCTCCATTTTGCAGGAGAAAAACAAAACCTGCAAAGGGGTGGAATGAAGAATTCAGGAAAAGGGGCCAGAGGGGTGGCTGTTTTTGGACACTAAACGTGGGCCGTGTCTACGGAAGACCGTGTCCAGGCCTGAACAGGAAAGAAGATAAGATGATCCCCTGGAAATTGCAGAGAATCATCTGCTTTATTTATCTCCCTGGATCCGCCCTGAGGAGGAACACGGATGGAATATGAGCATAGGCAAAGTGTAGAGGTTGCTATGGTGACCTCCCCCCAATGATACCTTGAGTTTTCCAACTTCCTAAACAGCTGTTGGGGGGGTAGGGAATTAAACAGCCAAAGCTCTTTTCCATTCAGCCTGAAACCTCTACAACAGGGACAGTCTCGTTGAATTTCTGCCTGCCGTTTCTAACGCGTGAAGAAACGGCAGAAGATTATTCTGCTGGTCTTTGCACCCCGTTGCTCAGCCTGTGCAAAGGCCTCTACTCCCTCTTGAATCTGCATGGAGCCAACGAGAGCGAAAGATGTACCCAAGGCCCCAAATGCATTTTTTGAGTTTTTATAAAAATTTATTGCAGAGAGGAATTATGCTCTGGTGCAGTTGGCAAAACCCACTTGGATTAGTTTTGAATGTATCCAGAAATTCAAGTTTGAAAGGCCGTGATTAGTAGCAATAAGGGCTCCTACTAATCAATACCAAGGGCCCATCCAACTGAGCTTCTGGCAGGTTTGCTAATTAATTTCAGCCTCAGCGGCAAAGCAGGAGGAGATGCTGAGAGTCCTGCGACGTTTCCTGTCAGGTTTTCCCACCAAGACGTGGCAATCCATCGCAGATTTTCTGACACTTCTTGGCTAAATAAGAATTTTCCCCTAATACCTGCCAAAGGGTGCATTGACCACTGCCAGAAATGGTGCAAACAACTCTTACACGTGGTGGTTCAAAATGATTTTTCTCTCTGAGCTCTCTCGTGAATTAACGACTCAGCACGGTGCTTGATGGCCTTGTGGCCGAGGGGTGATTATACGTTTAACCTCATTGCCATTCTAAGCCTGAGAAATGTGATTTTCCTAAACACGATTATCTTGAGTCAGATGGAGTGAGATGAAGAGGACGGGGTTACAAGAATTCCAGCAACTGGATTTTTCCCCAGTGAGAAGACACTTAGGCCCTGATGCACCAGACTTTCTGGTTTTCTTTCAAACAGCCCTCCTGTAATCAGACAGGGAGGCAGGGTTTTTTCACTGATAATGGAGAAATTTGCAGCTGGTTGTTTACATAACAGTCTCCTGGATCTTTATCGGGCTGGGAACAAACTATTACACTTCCGCAAATGATCTAGGAATGGAACGGCAATGTAAGTTGGGGAACTGCCTGTGTAATCCTATATATTAAAGGAGAATCCATTCCGAGTGCTAGCGCTCGCTTGTCAACATAGCACCATCCCCGTAAATCAGTGTTTCTCAACCTCAGCCACTTTAAGGTAGGTGGACTTCAACTCCCAGAATTCCCCCAGCCAGCATGCTTTACTTCATTTATGATTTTAAACTTATACCCACGCAGTCACAGCAAAGCAGCCCGCCACGCGGCAAGTTTTATTTGATGTCATTTCCACTTACCTTTCCATTAAACAGGTGGGAAAGCCTAAATTGGCGGCAGCAAATTAAAGAATATTCTAATAACCTCTTAGGGATGAAGCGATCAAATTGCTAACGCCCGTAAGATTCTTAGGCAATTTCTGCAGAGGAAAGCCGTAAAGGTTTATGCTCTCCCCCTTTTAAGTTACTTTTCTGGAAGTTCCCTTGACTGGTATTTTACTTTTAATAAACTGATGTTCAGAAAAATATGGCATTAACTGCTGCCAAATTCTTTAGCTCAGGCATACTGAGTCATAAGGGTATGACCTGGGCTGACCATTATTTATGTTTTTCCTTTTATTTAGTTTGGTGTGCCTAAATGTCCAGTGTTC